TGTCAGTGGTAATAGCATTTTGTTCTTGTCGGTCAGTGTTGAGGATCTGTGTAACAATTGAGGCTTAGCCTGACAGTTAGCCTGCCCTGGACCAGGCTAGTTTCCCAGCATAAGTTGCCAGGGTCACTGAGTTTGAACTTTTTTAAGTTTGATTTATGAAACCGAATCTACCAAAAATAAGCCTGACTAACCGAAATAAGCCTGGCTTATACTCTAATCTTGGTTTATGGAACAGCCCCCTGGTTTCACAAACAATTTTAAAGCCTAGTCCTAGACCAAATAAGTCTGAGCTGTTCCAACTGAAATACACTTGCACTGACTGATCTTAAAATATATCAGTGTCTTTGTTTTGTCTCAAGATGAACACCAGTAATGTTTTTTTTTTCTAAGCATGTTTATGAAAATTATTTAAATGTCCTAATTGAACTATGGACTAATCCTGGTTTAGGCTAAACCCTGTCCCTGTCTGTGAAACCGGGCCATAATTCGGTGGAATAGCCCACTAATATTTGTTTACAATTATTGTTTTCTAGTCTGACAAGCTAACGTTAACTATTTTTTTATATTACAATACGCCGACAGTAAGCAAACTACCACTATCAACACTAAAGTAACAAACGCATGCACCAAAAAGTTAGCGAATGTTTGCTAATAGTGGTTAGCGATAGATTGTAAGTGGCAGACCTCTTGGAGCTTTTCTTAATCGTGTTGCAAGCAAGTTTACACAAACTAATTAGCGTTAACTGACGTAAAATGAGAATTTACACAAATCCACTTACATCCATATGCAGGACAGGTGACCTCTCTCCTCATTTCACCCATAGACTGTACCGTTTTCTCGCTATCACTAATATCTGAATATCTGATGGGGAAAGCGTATTCAAGTATCACCCACTCAAGTTTTAGCAAACCAGGCAGAGAGATTGTAAAACGCCTACCTGGTTGTAAAACGCCCCCAAATTGAGGCACGCCCCTTGTTGCTCTGCAGAGACCTCCTTCTCGCCTCATCGTCCAGACTGCACTCTGGGGTTACTCACATCCCAGATTCTCAGGTGAAGATAACGAGGAAGTTATGGCTTCTAAACCGTGATTTTTTAGGGCCGTGATATTCAAATGACAATTGTTTTCAGCCGCCACATTTATCAACGGCCGATCAATCGTACGATGGGATTGGCTGTATTCGAATGTTTCATGATGAATTTCATTTCACACGTGAACCCTGTCGTAAAATGATTTCTGCGCTCGGATCTACGTTAGATTGATAAATAAGACCCACTAAGTAAAGTAGGCTATAAACGCAGGGCTCTCTCTGGAACTTCACAAAAACTTCCTCTGAGATTCTCAAGGCAACAATCTGAAAAGCAAGGGGAGTTTTTGGAACAGAAACCTACTGAATAACATTTGCTTTGTCTTTCAAATACACTGAGAATAATAATAAATAGTTTGGTACAATGTACTTGTGTTGATGTAAAACACACCTTCTGCTATTGAGGTGGGATATGGGTAAGGGACAGGTTTGATGGTATGGTTAGGTTTAAGTGTGGGTTAACACTGGGTCAACAACAGTAAGAACAACAGCACTTTTTAAAAGTGAAATTCTCTTCTGCAAATAAATCAAACCGAAAACTGATACTGACCAAATAGATTAGAGTAGACTTTGTTTGCAAATGGCTAAAATGTTGTTTAAAGTCATTTTATGCTTTCTGCTAAAAAAGATTAGATTTTGTTATGACAAATCTGTCTCTTCAGAGCAGGGGCGTAGCCAGTATTGGGCCAGGGCGGCACTGGCCCGCCCACATTACTCACTGGCCCGCCCAGGCAAGTTTGATAAAAATACATTTTTAGTTTATTTTTATTCAAATGTACCGTATTTAAGAAAATATATTAATATATACCTGATTTATTGTTGACTGCTGTGTGTGTTTAATTCGTTTTCCGAATAAAATGGAACTGTCGAATCAAGTTGTAGAAAGCCTCTCTCCGGAACGTTATTGGTTGCTATGGTTGCTGGGGGTTCCGACAGGAAAACTCTCAGCGGCGTCGGCGCCACAATAATGGCTAAACAACTTTCTTTAATGTGCTATTTGAAAAAAGCAAGAGTTGAGGAAGAAGACACGCCACTGCCTTCATCTTCCGAGTCCACCCAGCCCAGTTCTTCCGACTCATTACCCCAGGAGAAGGCTAGTCAGGTGCTGGCGCCGGCCGCTTCTTGCTCCCTCTCTCCCCGTCAGCCTGACGTGGGTTTACCCGCCGATCTAACTGCGATATTATTATTTTAGCTTACTTTATTTTGCACTGCTGACTAGCCTGAATAAAATAGACAGGTTATTGTCTACACTGGTTTGTCCAGCCTTTATTAAGCTCTGTTGGTTGAACATGATGATTTGCCGAATATAAAGGTGTAACTGTTTGTGCAGTTTGTCTATTAATTTTTCTACTCTCTAAGGTTAATTATTACTGAAGTCATTTTTTTCTATGAAAAACTATAGGCCCACTCACATTTTCACTGGCCCACCCAAAATACAATTTCTGCCTACGCCACTGCTTCAGAGAAACTGTGAAACTCTTGGTGCGAATCTCGCATCTGTGCATGATCAATCAGAGAATGATTTCCTGCTGAGTCGGTTGCCTTCCACAAGAACTTGGGTTGGTGCTCATGATGGTGAACAAGTAAGTTAAATGGTGTGCCCTAAAGAAACCTATTTGTTTGTCTAAACTGAAGTTTCTGCTTTAATCAAAGGCAAAGTTTCTAATGAAGATAGTTTGACTTCAAAGCTGAACTTGATTAGCTTAAGTCTGACCACTAGTGCACTTGTATTCATTCTCTTCACTTATTAGGACGGAGAGTGGTTGTGGACTGATGGAACTGTGTATGACTATAACCACTGGTGCTCTGGAGAACCTAACAATGCTGGTGTTCCCGAGAACTGTTTGGAGATCAACTGGACCTGTGAATACCGTATGATATGAAATTATAATTGAAAAAGTGCAATGTTAAATGACTCGTTTGGATTTCACCAAGTGCCTTAAGTTGAACACCACTGTTTCTAACACCACTGTAATGATCAGAGTAACTGATTTCATTATTCCACCCTACAGCTAACCAGTGCTGGAACGATGCTCTCTGTTCAACCTCAATGAGCTATATTTGTGTTTCGGAATGTGAGATCACATTCAGTCATCCTGCTCCACATTTATTTTGATTGTACTCTATTTACTTTTTCTGATCTTATCTTTACAAAAAAAGTTATTCTGAAATCCAATCTCTACTGAATTTTAATCTCCTCTCAATATTTTCTCTGAAACGCTCATCAAATTAATAAAAGCATTGAATCAAAGCATGTGCATTGTGGACAATCAAATAAATGTATATTGCATGGCAAGGTTTGAGGATATATGGTTGGTAGAATGGCATTTAATGATATCAGGGAAGGGGTTTAAGCAAGCGGCTTCATCGACAAACACTAGAAGACAGTTGTTTCCTACAATGGATGGTAAGCTAATTTGGATTTCATCCAGGGCTCTTGTTTTTGGTCTTATAACGATGACTCGCTTGCTTTAGTCCTCATAAGTCGCTTTGGATAAAAGCGTCTGCTAAATGACTAAATTTTATAAAATATGCATCATGATGCTGGAATTCACCATGATCTTTACATGGTATTCTGACTCAAGTCCAAAACTCGTGGTAATACCATGTTACTCTCTTGTATTTGTTAAATGTCACAATGTAAATGTAGGCATATGTGAGTATTTTTGGAAAGAAAATGTTGTTTGTGACCTGGGGGTCCCTAATGCTAAACGCCCCAGTTCTAAATTATAAGGTCGGTCGCCGTAAAATGTGACCAGTGCAAATGAAGAGGTTAAGAGAACCTAAAATATAAGATGGCATTCCAATTTATGATCAACTTGACAGTATAACTAGGGCTTACACCCGAAAACAAATTAAAGTAACAAATAAAAAGAAACCATATCTGCACAGGCTCAAAAAAATAACCACCTAAACCACAAATCAGCAAGGGATACAAGATTATCACAAGGGTATTGGGGAAATATTATATAAATTGTATTTATCTAAGTCCAGCTAAATCTTTTTTTTTTTTTTTTTTTGACAGGGCTTTTAGATGTACCAGTTCTCTTACGAGAGATTCTCTCGTACTGCGTAATATCTTACGCTAGGGGGAAAACCTCTTTTCCACAAGATATTGAAGCCAAAAATTATCCTTAAAAGGGATAGCTCACCCCAAAATGAAAAATCTGTGATCATTTACTCACTCCCATGTCAGTTCCAAACCTGTATGAGTTTTTTTTTATTCTGTTGAACACAAAAGATATTTTGAAAAAAATATTGGTAGCCACTAGCCAGACAGTTGACTTTCATAGTATTTCCCCCATATGGAATGTGGAAGTCAATTGGGCCCATAAACTGTTTGTTTGCTGACATTCTTCAAAATATCTTCTTTTGTGTTCAACAGAACAAATAAACTCATTATTTGGAACAACTTGAGGGTGAGTAAATGACAACATTTTAATTTTTGGGTGAGCTATCCCTTTAATTGGAACTTTTTAGAGCATGCCACGCTGGGATGTCAGATGACGTAGTGACGTAATAAATAACTGAATCGCTCTATGAACCAGTTCTTTGAACTGCTCGAAAGAATCGATTCTCGGAAATGAGCCGAATTTCCTCACGGCCAGCCGCCTGCCAGCTGTTCGGGGCGCTGCAACACTGCCCTATCATCGAGCTGACAAAAGAATCAACAACACTATCCACTGTTACACATCACCATTTCCCTCTACCGCTAAAAGTCACTTAAAAAAGAAGAGATTGCCTACAAAATACAAACATCTAAAAAATAACAACGCAAATTGAAAAATAAATCAATCAAATCGATAATGACCGCTGGTAACCCGAGAGTGATGTCACGTCAGCCTCCAACACGCGCCACCCGCCTTCAGCCAATCAGAGCGGCAAGAAGCCGGCCCCTACCATGACAACGCTTCCATCACTTCCGGGCTGAGAGCTACGGCGGCGCGAGACAGCGACCGCAACATACAACGACATAGAAGAATAAATAATCATCGCTATATATTTGCCGCGTCTAGCTTTTCTATAACATATTTTTTCTTCATTTTAAATGGGATGTTGCGAGTCTGACTGAAGCAGCTGCGTCAGCATAAGGTGAGTGTTCATTGTGTCTATGGTACGTATTGTGAAGATGCGCGCAGAGAAGATTGATTTACATATTGAAGACTCGCATGCATATAGTAAAGCATCAGATGCGCGGTGTTACTTTGGTATGAAGAGGGTTCGGGTGCTCTGACAGCTGAGCAATGTAGGATATTGTGATGGTATCGCATTCCACTCATGATACTGATGATCATATCAGGCCTCTTCTGTTCCCGGGATGTAATGACACATACATACCTACATACAAACACATATCTGTGGTTAATAGCCGTGATCATGCACATCTCTCATCCTTTATACACTTGCATGCACACTAAACACATTAGCGCTCAGGTAATGACCACACTAATCTCTCTCTCACACACACAAAAACAAACAAACACGATCTCACATCAGCCAACATGACATTTATACATTCACACGCCATCAGATCAGATTCTCTGTGTGATAGGAAGGCAGACGAGTGTATTTGGTCAAGAATAAGATGTTTTGCCTGAATTAGGGCACAGATAGGTGTGCTGGTGACATGGGACTGCAGTTTGTAATGGGTGATTGGGAAGATAGTGGGTTGACATGCTTTGAGATAATCCTGTGGATTATGTGCTATCAGTTGAAGGCCAGCACTAAGAATAAGCAATGCGTTTCAATGGTGACCATGCAGGTTAGTTTACTAGATTACTGGACTTGAAGTTGCTTGTAGAAATTGTTTGATTAATAAGGATCTTTTGTGTAGTTTTAGGGCGCTAGGCTGTGTGTTTGTTTGTGGTTTACGAATAGCCATTATAGAGACAAAATGTCCCCACAAGGATGGCAATATCCAAAATCCTTGTCCTTGTGGAGACATTGTTCGGCCCCCATGAATAAACCAGCTTATAAATCATACTAAGTGATGTTTTTTGAAAATGTAAAAATGCAGAAAGTTTTCTGTGAGGGTTGTGTTTAGGGGTAAGTCCAAAACACACCTGTGCTTAATAACAGGGTCACACACAGCTCACAATCCATGCTATTTAAATGAATGCTTCACCCAAAAATGTAAATTCTAGTATTCAAGATCTTTTTTTTTTCATGTCATTCCAAACACACAAGACTTCTGTTAATCTTTATGACACAAATGAAGATCTTTTTAATGAAACCTGAGAGGTTTCTGTTCCTCCATTAAAAGTCCAGGTAACCAAAGCTTAAAAAGGCACTGCAAAAGGAATCCATATCAACGGATTTAATTTAGGCTCTCTTAGGTTTCATTAAAATTGATTTGATTTAACAGATCTTAATTTGTGCTTCACAGTCTTATGAGTTTGGAATGACATGAGGCGAGTGTAAACCATGACAGAATTTTTATTTTTGGGTGAGCTAGGCTATCCCTTTAACACTATAAATAGTGCTAAGCAAGATGCTGCAGAGCATCTACAGAGCGATCAGTGCTGTGGGGCATATTCAATGACATTTATTTCAAAAACTCATTTAGAGGAAAGGGAAGATGCACCAAGCAAGATTAAAACACGAATACAATGTGATTTCGATTTTATTCTGGTTTGTAGAGTATGCAATGATGGTTCGTACTATACCGCCACTGGACACATAAAATGGACCATGTAGATTGTGACAAAATATCATAGTATTGGATGTTTAGCAGTTCAGTCAGAGTGTGAATTGATTTCCAACTTCCCTGTGGGCTTGATTCTTCACGATTGTCCCACTACAGGAGTGTATGACTCATGTCTCTATTCCCACACCCTGAGCACGAGGTGATGGACCAGCCAAACAAGTCTGATCACACCCAGACTCTTCAAGTGATGTATAATGGGGATTATGGGTAGTAAATGATGGGGCTCTGTTCAGTAATCTTGGTAGGTGTGTCTGAAAAATGTGCCTGTTCCTTCACTTCTGCAAGCGCCGTCTGCGTTTTTGTGCGGAGGAGTTTGATCACAAGTGGAAAAGGGAAGAGAACACTTTCCAAACTTGTTTTGGTTCTAGTTTAAGTGTCTGATGTCCGTAGTTAATTACTGGTTCCTCCTTTCCACGTTAAAGCTTTGTCACTTGCCTTAACTTAAGTGTTTTCACAGATTTTCACACACAAGCCATGTTGGTGCTTGCCCGTGCAAATCTCAACACAATGCTAGTGTGTTGAGAGAGGTTACCTGAACGTTGCTATTTGCTATGTAGCATGTTCCGGCTGGTTGATATTTCTCAGCTTCATCCTTCAATGTAAAGCCAGGTTCACACTGTAGATTTTGGCCATGATTTGGCCATCTGAGACAAATGTTGAGAATCCTAAAAGATTCCTCTAATCCTAAAAGTCTTTGATCGCTAGTTTCGCCGACAGCCAATTAATGACCGTTGCGATCAGATTTTACCTCCGATGAAATTCTGGCAGTGTCCTTTGAGGCACAGTCCTGTAGTGTGACTTCGCCTATGACAACCATCAGAGGAAAAACCAATAGGAGAACCGAACCTGATGACGCAATTAGTGAGACAACAACAAATCACCACTTGCTCCACACACATTTTCTTAGTTTTTTTTCCATTTTTCATTTCAAGAAAAGCAGTAATCAAAATCAACAGTAGAGATTATTTTTGTTTACTAGCCACCATTTCTATCCCATATAAATGCAGCTCACGTCACTGAACGTGTCATGACGTGATTGATGATGTAAAACTCCGGACGAATCTTCTTGTGTGCATCCGTTTTTAACGCGCCTTGACTGCCGTACAGTCTGACATTAATGACAGCTGAGAGATCCTACAGTATGGCTTACAGCTGGGGTCATGTTCGTACAGTCTGACAAGCAACATTCGTAAAGGACTATTTTATAAATCGTACAGTGTGGACCTGGCTTAAGTCAATGGGATTTTTTCCACTTGTTCAATCATGAATATTAATCCTATGCAAGGCCCTGTTTACACAAGTGCGACGGCATTTTAAAATGAAAACGATCCTCGTCCATACTGGCGTTTCCACTGCGTTTCAGAAAAGATCTTGCATGTCACATGACCATTCGTACACACTGGGCATGCCTGTAGTACAATTGTAAACAGTTGCCAATTGCTCTAATAATAGCTTGCCTCTTGTGCATGTAGGCAGCTCCAGTATTATAAAATGCAGTTTAACTGCACAATGGCTGCTAAAAAGTAGCCTGGTTAAAACCAGACTATTCTCAGTTGTAACTGAGTTATGGTCTGGCAAAGCGTCATAGACAAATCATTTCCAGAGGGGCGTCACCAACGGACGTCGCGGATAGACCTAAAACCAATCAGAGCGATGAAGGAGATGACGTACGCAGAGCGGCGGAGAAACATCTCCGAGTGTTGTTCTTTGCTCGGTTTTTAACAAAAAGGAAACGTTCAAATCGCTTAAAACAGACGCGATAGCGGATTCGAACGAGTGATGTTCGACGGCGGCATCCATCTTTGTAATGTAGGCTACAAAATCTGCTTCAAAATCCCAGCGCTGTCATCATCGTGTAAAGCCCGCCCCAACGTTTCTGATTGGTGCCTCGATTTCGACGGATTGGAAATGGGCTTGAATGAGCTCTTTGCCAGACTAACTTTCAGAGCAAATCTAAATTTGCCGGAAGTTGTCTGGGTTTTCCCAGGCTAGCTAAAAAGGACAACAAAGTCAAAGCATGCAGTTCCATCTGTTATTGTTTACACGGTCTGTAGTGTAATGGTCATATGACAGGGGCTTAGCGAATCAGGGGAGGATACACAATGGTCCAGAAGACCCAATCAGGGAGCGATTGTAGGCAGGCACGCCTTCCTTTTTTAAAAGTCTCCGTTTTGGTCTGTCTACACTGAAAGTTTTCAAACTAAAACGGGGTCTGCAGAATTTCCTAAAGTCTCCAGGGTCGAAAACCCCGGATTAGTGTAGACAGCAGTGGCAAAAGTTATGCGTTTTAAAACCAAAACGCACTTGTGTAAACAAGGCCTAGAGCAAGCATCATTAATTAGAACTAATAAAGAGTTAATGTAACCGGTATGAATACAGGTGAATACTCTCTCTTTCGACTGTGTTGTGGCAGTGCAGGTGAGTTTGGATCTGGTTGCTAAGAGGAGATGATATTTGATACCTTCGTTTTGCTGAAGATCTTCACAACACTGACCAGTTCTCAGATGACCATCTAGTAACTAACTACTGTGCCTCAGATGCACGTCTATCACAGTTTGATGCGCTTGTTACCAGTACTGGACTTGGTTATGAAATGGTATTGAAATTGTGATTGAAAGCATGCATAAATGGAAGTACGAGGGACAGAGGATGATCGATCGCACATTTGTTAATCATATTTCAAAGCATCCGCTAAATGAATAGCCTAAATGTTTGTTTTTTTATTAAATGTTCAAGCTTATTTCTGTTAAATTAATTTGGATCCATACTTTTTCACCCTTTTTTGCAGCGCCATTGGATTTCCTTTCCTTACCAGCATTAGTTTGAAACGGGTTGTTTTTGCAGTTCTTTGGGTATGTAAATGACCTTTGTTATGATTGGCTAACCTCATTCTTCATATTCCACACTGTTGTATATATCAGAATATATCAGTTTGCTGAATAGTGAAAAGGCCTTAATAAAGTAGTCAAACTTGTCATGTTAATGTGCTCATGGTTATGACATTACTGATTTCTGGACGACCTAGTTTTTGCAGCTTAGTTTCTATAAATGGTCTGTGTGGACTAGAGAGGGAGATTTGAACATAACATGTCGACTCTGTGACATTCCTCTTGAAGGAAAGGTTTTCAGGCCCATGTGCTACCGGTCTCTAGGCGATCATGTCTGGGATTTCACGGGAGTTGTGGAATGTTTTATCCGTTATTGGTGCACCATACTCAACCCTCTCACAGTGCTTGAGGGCAACGACTTTACCACATGATGTTTATCACAGCAACCAACATTACAATCCACTATCCATAAGTAGTTTGAGAAGTCTATTTTTCCTCACATGATAAGAGTAGGTGTCTCCAACCCTGCTCCTGGGGGGCTACCATCCTGCAGACTTCAGGTCCAACCCTGCTCCAACACACCTGCCTCATTTTTCAACTAACTGAACACCTTGATTATCTGCTTCATGTGGGTTTGATAAGGGTTAGAGCTGAACTCTGCTGGACGGTAGCTCTCCAGCAGCAGTGTTGTAGACCCCTGTGACAGAGAAATGTTGAACCTTAAAGATGCTGTATAGCCTATGTACGTTTTTGTGCAAGTCTCCTCGCCTTCCATTGTCAATTGCGCTCATTCCTGTTGCGTGTCCTCAATCTGGCAACCCGCATGAGCGTGGAGTCTGAGCAGGATGGGGTGGGGGAAACAACTCTCTCCAATATTTTGAACTTAGACTGCAGTACCCATTTCAAACACTAGTTGTCAATCTCACATGCTGCACCTTTAAAGGGTATGTTTAAACGACAACAATGTAAGCGGAAAAGTGTTTTGCTTTTGCTTTTTTTCACGTACAGACGACAAAAATGTCAAAACGATCCCGTTCACAAAGATCCGCAAAAAACGCATGCCCAGTCCAGTAGTTGGCGATGTCATTTTGTAAAGAAATGCTACACGCCTATAGACTAAACACGTAATACGCATGACTTCACCATTTTCACAAATCTGTGTTTTTTGTTGTTTACATGGAGACAATAACGGTGTCGTTTTCAAAACTTGCAATTTGAAACCTGATTTCAAAACCTTGTGTTTTCATGCCCCCAAAACGCTGTTATCATGTAAATTAATGAACGGCCAAAACGCATAATTTTTTCCCCCCTTTATAGTTCCAATATTGCGAGTTCATGTCGCAATATTGGAAATTCAATAAGAGTTGTTCCAAATCATCTTTCTTCGGTAGAATACAAAAAGATATTTTAACAAATGTCTCTTAGCTATTTTTGTACAAACAATGAAAGTCAATGTTGTTTGGTTCCCAATGTTCTTCAAAATATCTAGTTTAGTGCACATTTTCCCCCAAAAAATTATAGGTTAACCTTGAGTAAATGTTCTGTTAAGTGTGCATTTAATAATTTGAGGGTCTCTTTAAGTGTTAAGTCTATGATTGGATCATTATTGCAGTGATTATGTTTCTAGCATGTTTGGCAACACTTCTTCTAACCCTAATTGATGGAGTGTGTGTTGCTTTTCATTTCTTAAACAACCATGTAGGAAGACACATCATGTCCATATTCCAGGATGACATAGCCAAGATTAATCAAATTGTGAAAGAATGGTTGGGAGGGAGAATGAAGAATCATTTTCACACATGAATTGGCACCTCTGAGTCCAGACCTTAAATTCATTGAAAGTCTTTGAGATGTGCTGGAGGAGACTTTACAGAGTGATGGACTCTTGCATTGACAATACAAGATCTTGACCAAAAATTGATGCACCTCAGTCTTGATGGAAATAACATCACAACCTTTATTTCCATCAAGAGGTGCATCAATTTTTATATTGTATATTGGCATTTTATGGGCCACCTGACTGATAGATATACATAGAGTGACATTGTCTGACCACAAATCCTGACCACCTCCAAACCTCTCTGGTGAGTCCACGATTGAAGCTACAAGGAGAGAATGCATTTCTGCTGTATAGCTGATATTTGAGAGCGTCTCTATCCTGGATTGTAGTTTTGACCTTCCTCTAAAAGTATCAAAACCAAAGAAAGAAGTCAGCCGTTTGTTTTTCCCAGAGAGAAAATGGGAAAAAGGCTGTTTCCTTCTTTGTTTGCACTTAAAAATTAGGTTTAAAATAGGTCAATGATTTTGAAGTTCAGCACTGCTCGTATCTAATGAGCTGCTGGATTATCAGGTCAATCTTTATTTGGCATTTCAGAATTTGGCCAAATTTGTATTTCATGTTCTGGATATGCTCGTGTCCACCCCCCATCTCTTCCCCTCAACACACACACACACGCATGCATTCATGAACACATCCTCCTCTCGAACAGAACACTTGTTTTAGTGTGAGCTTCATCCTTCCCGAGCGACAAAGCCTGTCTTGTTTGTCCTCTGAGCTCAGAGCGTACACTGTTTACCAGCCGTCCCTAGTTAAATCACAGTGGTCCTGTCACAGTCTTGGCATAGTGGTTAACGTACATGCTCATACGGTAGAGTAAGGCTGTGTCCGAAATCGACCCGTATACCCTCATTCACTATTCCCTACATTAGTCCAAAAACGAGTAAGTGAATTCGGACACTGAGTGCCCCGAAAGGGCTGCCGCTTTTTCGTAGTTTGTGTTTGCTGTTTAATAATTGTTTGAAACTTAGCAAACTGGCAGCTCAAGTAGTAATGATTATGAAAAGATTAATCTTGAACTTGGTCATGGAAACTATGTATAACCTTAATTATACAATTTAATAATCAATTAAAAAGGAATTTGTACCTATATGATATTATGCTGGAGCCACATTGGACCAGCGGTTTGGAAAGTGAATGGATGGATGATTCAGCTGCGGGCGCCATATTCTGTTCAGATGCAAGAATTCATTCAGGACGAGACCCTCACAGTGCATGATAGGTGTTCTCTAGCCATTGAGTGTACAACGGTTGTACACTTGTTATTGCGGTGCATTGTGGAATTGAATAAGTGCACTCGATAATGTCCAATATGGTTTTGGACACCACTACAAATGCCTGTCCCCTCAAATAGTGCCTTATTTAGGGGATAGGGGGAGATTTAGGACACAGCCTAAGTTTAAGTCCAGCTAGCATAATTTCCTGATCCTTTTCATGCTTTTTTGAACCACATTTAGCTTTTTTCATGCCCACATTATTTCAACCATTGAACAATTTTCAAACAAATGTTTAATAGTGAAATCACTGGTGAAAAACTGCATTACCCATGATTCTGCAAAAAAAGAAATCGAATCAAAACAACTTGCACCAAAACAACTCTTAGCACCCAGCCACTAACATGAAGCACTGCAAATGAAATGATGTAATAGTCGGTCTCCACTCTCAAACTACTTAAATATGCATAATATGTGTATATATTGGTGCTGTCAAACGCTTAAAATATTTAATTGCGATTAATCGCATTAATGTCATAGTCAACTCGCGATAAAAAAATTAATCGCGTTAAAATGGGTTTGTATTAATGCCGTTAATAACGCGTGTAACTGACAGCCCTAGTATATATACATAAAATTTGATATACATAAACATTATATTTCACCATCGCTTTTATTTCTATTATGTCATGGGATTTTAGCTCTTTCCCTTATTAAAGCCATTAAAGGATTAGTTCACTTTTAAAAAAACTTTTGCTGATAATTTACTCACCCCCATGTCATCCAAGATGTACATGTCTTTCTTTCTTCAGTCGAAAAGAAATTAATGTTTTTGATGAAAACATTCCAGGATTTTTCTCCATATAATGGACTTCAATGGTAGCCAAACGGTTCAAGGTCTAAATGACCGTTTCAGTGCAGCTTCAAAGGGCTTTAAACGACACCAGACGATGAATAAGGGTCTTATCTAGCGAAACGATCGGTCATTTCAAAAATAAATAAAAAAGTTAAAGTGTTATAGGCACAAATGCTCGCCTTGCGAACTCTCCTGTTCGAACTCGTTCATCAAAATGAACAAATCTTTTTTCGAGTCAATGACTCGAAAAAGGATTCGTTCATTTTGATGAACGAGTCAATGACTCGAAAAAAGATTTGTTCATTTTGATGTACAAATTCGAACAGGAGAGTTCGCAAGGCGAGCATTTGTGCCTATAACAATTTAACTTTTTTATTTATTTTTGAAATGACCGATCGTTTCTCTAGATAAGACCCTTATTCATCGTCTGGTATCGTTTAAAGCCCTTTGAAGCTGAACTGAAACGGTCATTTAGACCTTGAACCGTTTGGCTACCATTGAAGTCCATTATATGGAGAAAAATCCTGGAATGTTTTCATCAAAAACATTAATTTCTTTTCGACTGAAGAAAGAAAGACATGGACATCTTGGATGACATGGGGGTGAGTAAATTATCAGCAAAAGTTTTTTAAAAAGTGAACTAATCCTTTAAGTATACAGTCTTTTATCTTTATCTTTTCATCTGATTTTCAAATGCTTCTTTTTCTTCTTTTTTTTTGCTTTAAACTACTTTATAATGTTGTGATTCACCTTGTAGCTGGTTGATTTGTTTCATGGCTTAGTTATAACTCTTTAACAAAGACTTTTCAAATTCTAAATTGTGTTTTTTTTAAAAGCATATTGACAAAACACGCTTTGCTTGTTGTATTTCCCCACAGGGAGGGCTCATCTTTAAACCCAGGGGGCTTTGCACGCCGTCAGAGCAGGAAGCTGGAGTGGGAAAAGGAAATGGAACAGGAAATAGCCCTCTCAGCCAGCAGGTTTGACAAAAGGCAGTAGAAACGTCAAGAAGTACCATCTACACCATCAAGCACTTCAAGAACCAGAAGAAGCCAGCAAGAGCTTCAGAAAAACAGGAATACTATCACGTGTTTGGAGGAAAGTAAAGAACAACACAAAGTAAGTGGAGGACAAAAGTCAAAGGTAAAGCTGGTGTGGTTTGAGGGCATTAATCACTAACTTCTTTTTTTTTTTTTTTTTTTTTGTCTTGTCCTCTGATTTTTTTTGTTCCTCAGGATGAAGTTGAAGGAGGACATGTCTCCTCTCCTGCTGCAGGTCTTTCGATCGGTCGCCTGGGTTTATTCCGTCATCACATTTCTGCCCTGGTACCTGCTCTCCGGAGCCAGCGGGAACCAGGCCCGTGCTAAAAGGATCAAAGCGCGCACAGTAAGTACAGCATAGGATGAATAGGCCCAAAACATCAGCTCAGATTCATTCAAACCCTGGGTCCTGTTCAAAAGTTTGGGGTCAGTAAGATTTTTTAATGTTTGTGAAATCTCTTCTGCTCAGCAAGGCTGCAATTATCTAATCAAAAATACAGTAAAACAGTAATATTGTAAAATATTAATTAAAACTTTAAAGGAACTGTTTTCCATATTGATGCATTTTAAAATGTAATTCCTGTGATAGAAATCTGTATTTTTAGCATCATAACATCATAAAAAAAAATGTCAGGGTTTTTTGATGAATAGAAAGTTCAAAAGAACAGCATTTATTTGAAATAGAAATCTAACATTGTAAAATGTCTTTATTGTTACTTTTGATCAATAAAATGCATCCTTGCTGAATAAAATATAATTTCGTGAAAAAAATTGTACTGTCCCCAAACTTCTAAACGGTAGTGTACCTGTTATAAATAGAGATTATCGCAATTTATCTTAGATTAGCGGAGGGATTTGAGTCACTTTCATTTCTGAATAACGTCACATAATTAAATTGCTGGTTTAAAAAAATAGTGATATTTTAAAGGAACTAAAATATGATGAATTAGGCGACAAGTGGTTTTGGATTTTTTTTTGACTGCCTGTGTTTGTCCTACATTTCCCCCATGACCTCATTGTAATTTCCTGTCCCATCAGGTAAGCGGGACACCGGCAGGGCCGTACCGGGCTGTGAACAGCCAGCAGAGGTTGGCGTCCCTGCTGCACGAGGGTGTGGATACTTTGGATAAAGTGTTTGAATATGCTGTAGTACACTTTCCTGAAAGAGACTGCCTGGGCACAAGAGAGCTGCTGAGCGAGGAGGATGAGATGCAGCCTAACGGCAAGATCTTTAAGAAGGTAAGACACAGACACACACACACACACTCATGTTGACTCATACTGTACGGCCACACACTCTCAATGGCTGTGGAACTTTAGCCGCTTTTCCACCATCGGGCCGAACGTTTCAGTTGTATAAGCATAAGAGAAAATACATTTTTGTTTTTCAAAAATATCTAGACCACTAAACACATTGAGTTTCTGTCTACTGAATTTATTTATTTGGGAAAGATGTTTCATCAGCTAAACAATCAGTATTATGTTAAACAACAGTACAAACCATTAAACACACTAATTCTATCCCTTACAGCCTTGTTTTCATTCCGGTCAAAAAATAAATATGACTACAGTCTATGTTGTGTATTATCAGTGTTGAAAGGTTGTGCTGCTTACTGTTTGTGGAATCCATACATTTAAAAATTTTTTTTTTTTTTTTACTATTATAAAGAATAAAATGATACTGACCCCAAACTTTTGAAAGATAGTGTGTGACTAAAATCAGATTTAGGCTGTCAGTGTGAACATAGCTCTTTCCTTGAGAAATGCTTTAAACACTCTTCTAAACATATACTTACACAATATTCAAGTAGATATTGAGTTGGTGTGTGTTAGGTTAAGTGGACAGATCCCGAGAGAACTCTCTTGAGCTCCACAGGAAGAAGTTCAGTGGCTCTGTAAACAGAGTTGATCTCTGGTCTGTGGTTGTCCAGAACTGTTTACATGAAATTGAAAAGTCGTCTCATGCTGCTGTGAAAGATACTGAGAATTTCAATACAATGCAACTCTGACTCCTCTCTGCTTCTCTCTAGGTGATTTTGGGTGATTATAACTGGTTGTCGTATGAAGAAACGTTCCATCTGTCTCAGAGGTTTGGTAGCGGGCTCGCCGCTCTGGGTCAGAAGCCTCTTTGTAACATCGCCATTTTCTGCGAGACTCGTGCTGAATGGATTGTAGCAGCTCAGGCATGCTTCATGTACAACTTCCCCTGTGAGTATTCTAATCACGCACACACAGGGTTTTCTCCAATATCGGCTGTATTGTGCTGAATAGGACAAAATAGCAGCACTGCTGTGGTACTAGATGCAAGACATCACACTGAAAACAGAACTGTTATTCGCTTTTCAAGCACACACACGCATGCATTCTGCAGAAAATCTGATTCCCATTAATCAGATCTGGTTTCATTCCAATTCACATGCTAAACCATACTATACATACTAAAAGTATGCAAGATGTGAATTAGTGCATCTCAAATTTTAGATGCACTATGATGTTGAAGATAGTATGCCAAAGGGCATGTCTGGATGGATTCTCAAAATGTCCATCTGTGCATGCTTAAAAAAAAAAAAAAAAAAAAAAAAAAAAAAGATTAATATTACCCACAACCCTTGTCCCTTGGATGTTTCGAGTTTCATTCAAAACATTGCAGAAATAGAAAAGCTCAATAGAGTGGTGCAGGGATGACGTCAAAGCTCGGAAGACTAATTTACCTCTGATTCCTTGAAGATTTTCCTAATGGGTTTTATAATGTTTATTTATTTTTATGTATGAGTAAAATAAAGCCTGTGGTAAACATAACTTTACAATATAAATGGATTTAATGGATTTAAAACTATATAAATGATTAAAAATAAAAATGATTTCTGTACTGACATCTTAGTCCAAAATGAACATTCGCCATGTGCCAAATATAAAAATTGTTGTTGGCGAGTTGAAATGCTGTTTAGTACTTTATTGTTATTTTTTAACTTATTATTATTACTACTACAATTGTATTGCAATTGTAATAATCCAGTCTTTATTGATTTAAAGGTACAATATGTAGGATTTTTGCAGTAAAATATCCAAAAACCACTAGGCCAATGTTATATATTTTGTTTAGTTGATTACTTACAATATCCCCAATGTTTCCAACTATTTGTAAATCGTGAGAAAACTGCGATTTTAACCAAGGAAACGGGATGTGTGAGCAGGGGTGAGGAGTCATATCCGTTTTACCCTCGGTTTCCGCTCGTACTGCCATAGTAACCATGGCGACAGACGTGGACAACTGGGTCATGCTTAGCAGGACGCTCACGCTGTTGTTGTTTTGTTCAAACATTTTGGACCATGGCAAGCAGACTTTGAGACAAAAAGAGGACTAGAACGAAAATCAAAATCTTTCGAGATGCCGAGAGCTCCACGTCCGTGACTAACTTCGAAAGACGCGAGTGTTCCATTTACTTTATTAGACAGGTGAGCAAATGTACATGATAAAACTAATCAATGTTATTTAGTTCAATATGATGAAATGTTAGAATATGATCTTTATGTTATTCTAATGATGATCTAGCTTAATGCTAGTCCCATACAACCAACAAACAACCTAACTAACAACATTCAACACACTCAAATGCCATTTAGTGTGATAGTGTAACTGTTAGAGCAAGTGAAGCAGCGCTGCGTTACCTCAAGTTTAATTCCTCTAATAAACTGACCTGTGTGAGTATTAATTCAGCACTTGCGTGTAGTTCGGTAGAATGAAATGTCCTTATTCCTTTATATCCGTGGGACTTGCGTTGCGTGTGTGACTCTGGTATACGTCTCTCATTAGCAATCGCGCCCTGCTTCACACCACAGTCATGTTAAAATCATCACTGTATTCACTCATCCATAAAAGATCCATCAGCTTGAAGACAAGATCCATAATTCCGCTTGATGCTTTGCGTCATCGATATACGCCTTTGTTATTGTAAGAGGTTAGCGACCCCTGGTGGTGAAAAATCCTACATATTGTACCTTTAATAAAAAAAATTTATTATAATAATAAAAAAAATGTTTAATGATAACAACAATACTAATTATAAATTATAAGTAAATTATAAATCAATAATTATTAATAAATAATATTAATAATCTCTCACTATTTTATACGGTACTTAAAAGCGCAGTAACTCATTATCTTAACAATGTTTTTTCTCCGTTTCAGTGGTGACCCTGTACTCCACATTGGGAGGAGCAGCTATAGCTCATGGTCTAAATGAGACTGAGGTCACGCACATCATCACAAGCAAAGACCTGCTGCAGAGCCGCCTCAAGGTGAGAACGAGACCGACGTCACACCAGTGGGCTCATGAAGTGTCAAAGCTGCGGTCAATTATTGCACTGAATCTCTCTCTCTCTATCTCTCTCTCTCTCTCTCTCTCTCTCTATCTCTCTCTCTCTCTCTCTCTCTCTCTCTCTCTCTCTCTCTCTCTCTCTCTCTCTCTCTCTCTCTCTCTCTCTCTCTCTCTCTCTCTCAGGCCATTCTGTTGGAAGTCCCCAGACTGAAGCACATTATATTGGTTGATATAAAGACCACCAGTTGGCCTGATCTCCCCAGAGGCATCATGGTCCACAACATGGGTGCAGTGCAAGAACTGGGGGGCAAAACTGAAAATGGTAAGTGCCTAAACTCTCAAGTAGCATACTACTTTGTCTAAAATTATACAGGTGTTATTTACCATCTTTAATATTATATAGACCTACCGCGGCTTTATATCGGCCACCCTGCTCAAGATATCGGCATCGGCCAACACAAAATCCATATCAGTCGGACACTAGTTTATATGCATACTGCATATTGTTATATTTGCATGCATATGGGTTCATATACTACTTGTAGTATATAGTTTACTAAAAAGTCTAAATGTAGCCAAGGGATTCCTAATACAGAATAAGCTTGAGAGAAATTAACAGTAGCCCTTGCTTGCTGATGGTAGAAACACCACCTTTTGTCATGTTTTGAACTGTACTGACACAATAAACAGACTAAGGACCAAAAGAGCTGTAAACAGAGATTTTGTTCAGGGAAGAAAGACAGCAGGATCTTCCTGTCAGATGAAAAGAAGACTTGAGGGCATGCGAACCGGTGTTGAGAGCTCACACACTCAGCCTTTGTGTCAGATAAGAGCAACTGTTTAGAAAACCCCTCTGGAGATAAGAGAGGGAGATGTTATCTTTATTAGAGCAGGGTTTCTCTGTTCAGAAAGACTGAGATAAAAGGTTTAGACATTTCCCTGGAGTATTACACCTGTGTTTTTTATGAGAGCCGGTCTAGCTATTCTTAACAGGTGCCAGCTATGGCCGGCGCTGATGCCGATGAACATCAGTTGTGCCTACATTCTGCCTTTCAAAAAAAAAAAGTTTTTTAAATATATGAAGACATTTTAAATGCTTCATATTTAAATATATTTTATATTATATAAAATGAATACTTTATTTTACATTACCATTCACACGCACACATGAAATGTTTCTTGAGCAGCAAATCAGCATATTAGAATGATTTCTGAAGGATCATGTGACACTGAAGACTCAAATTCGGCTTTCCCATCACAGCAGTCAATTACATTTTAAAATATATAAAATGGAAAACATTTATTTTACATTGTAAGTATACTCACAATATTACTGTTTCTACTGTATTTTTGATCAGATAAATGCAGCCTTGGTCAGCATATATTTATATATAAATTCATTAAAAATGATATTTGACTAATATTAATATCATGTGAAATATTAATTTCCATTTATTTCAATGTATATACAAAATACATACAAATTGTGGTTTTAAACAAAAAGGTTTTACCGGTTTTTAGTAACTCGACAGAGGTGAAGGGTTTAACAGCTTTTTGTTTATTAAACTAGAGTACATTTCCTGGTGCCCGTGGTTTAATTTACATTACCGTGGGCAGATTTATGACATCTGTTTTGGACTGAGAGATTCTGATGATGTGCAAGAAATCTTGCCAGCAAAGTGGCCTGGTCAACAGTTTCCCATTTTTAAAAAGGGTTTTTTCTCCTTTAAAGTAGTTATTATTTTAGAGCTCTTCCGTCTTAAATGGCACTACAACATGGCTGCCACTAATGAAGGAATGTGAATGTGTCTTTCTCTGTGTGCAGTAATGGTGTCCCGCAGGCAGCCTGTCCCGTCTGATATCGCAGTGATCATGTACACCAGCGGCTCTACAGGCATTCCTAAAGGAGTCATGATCTCCCATAGCAACATCATCGCTGGCATCACCGGCATGGCTGAACGCATTCCTAACCTGAAGTATGTTTCTCCGACGCCTCTATCTAGCTTGATTCTGTCTGTCCATTGATTTTTAGCTGTTAAAAAGCTAATCTTCATTGCTTCATTTTATGTCTGTATAATAAATTAGCATTTTAATGTCTCATTAATTAAGGTGTTAAAGAAAAATGCTGATCACAGCGATATGATTAAAGACACTGATGTTCAAAAATGGTTACCTGGGAAGCAAATCCATGATGTTGGCGGTACTAGCACTGCGTTATAAAGCATCTGTTTTATAAAGATAATTTACCCATGATCTTGACCTTATGGTTAATGTACACTACCGTTCACTATAGTTTGGGGTCAGTAAAAAAAATCTTTGTGAAAGCAATTAATACTTTTATTCAGCAAAGACGCATTAAATTGATCAAAAGTGACAATAATTACATTTATAATGTTACAAAATATTTCTGTTTCAAGTACGGGAAATGCTGTTTTTTTTTACTTTCTATTCTTCAAAGAACGCCCCAAAAAATTAACCAGCACAAATGTTTTCAACATAATCATAATATTAGAATGATTTCTGAAGGATCATGTGACACTGAAGACTGGAGTAATTATACTAAAAATTCAGCTTTGTCATCACAGGAATAAATTACATTTTAAAATGTTAAAAATAAAATAAAAATATTTTTTATTTATATACATTTTTAACAATATTGTTCTTACTGTATTTTTGATCAAATAAATCCTGCCTTGATGAGCACAAGAGACTTCTTCCGAAAACATTAACTAATCTTACCGATCCCAAACTTTTGAACAATATTGTATATTTAAATGTATACAATCTCATGAAAGTGTGATTCCTATGTATTCATAATTTAATGTATTACTGGACAGTTTATGTAACTTTTGTTAATGTGACTTTAATGTGTTTATTGTTCCAAAATGTGACACTACATTGTGTGAATATTTTGTGAAATAAGTTTTTGCATTTAGAATCAGAATCTTTTACATGTACAGGGAATTTGTCTTGGTGTATTAGAGCTTAGAAAAAGTAAAAAACAAGGGGGGGAAATAATATTAATAATAAGATAGACATCTGTAAGGTAAGATGGGAAAGTGAAAGAGAAACTAATGGAATTAATGAGTATAAATATAAACATAAACAGGAATAATAAAAAAATAGATGCAATAACTGTACATCAGTGCAGGATGTGCAAATGCTCAGTTTGAAGAAGGTGCAGTATTGAGACACTTTTAAAGCTGTGTAAAACTAACTTCTAAAACGATTTCTAGCCATTTTGATGCTTTCTGTTTCTGCAGTAGCTTGTTTAGTTACTGGTTTCTGTTAACAATGTTTCTTTTTTATTGTGACAGTGAGAATGACACCTATATTGGCTACCTGCCACTCGCTCATGTCCTGGAGCTCAGCGCTGAACTAGTATGCGTGTCACATGGCTGCCGGATTGGATATTCGTCACCTCAGACTCTTGCTGACCAGGTACAAACACACATACATACACTTTAGTCATGCTATTGTGACATCATCACCATGTCAAGCTCTTTTACAATCTCAGAATACTTTTGATTGCCAAAGCATTTGCATCACAACTGCAAAAAATGATGATAATGCAAATAAAACTTAAATTGCAATAATAGCATCTAATGTGCAATATCCTCTCTTGTTTTGTCCCTTCTCCCACAGTCATCTAAAATTAAAAAGGGCAGTAAAGGAGACACCAGTATGCTCAGACCAACACTGATGGCAGCTGTTCCTGTAAGAACTCACATTCACATAAACACACACAGTGGTCATAATTAGGGCTGGGTTAAAAATATTGATTTCTCGATTTAAATCGATTCTTATTTTGATGAACCTATATCAATTCTTAAAGTCCCCCTGTAGTTATAATTCTATCCCTTAAAACTCATCTTTGATCACCAAAATGACGTATTTACCGGTAACGTTTTTCATTAAAAAAAATGTCTCCATAACTTAAAATATCTTGAATGTAACTCAAAAAGAAAATGTGGTTCAATGAATATGCAAAGCCCCGCCTCCACTCACTCGCACCAGCTCAGAGATCCACTCGTTGATGATCACACGTTGACGTAATTGGTTACAAGGTAGTTTGTGACATCAGAAACACCAGCGATTTCAAACCATGGTTTTGAGACTGTCTTTGGTTCACTGCAGTTTTAAGGAGAAAATACTCAGCAATGGTGTTGACATGAATTTACACATGGTTTGTCTTAAAGCATATTAAAAACTTGATTTTCACCACAGGGGGACTTTGAATCCCAGGAATCAATCTTTTAGTCTGTGCTGGTTTCAGTTGATGTAGTTTTAGTTGAGACTTTTTGTTTTCCATGAGGAAAAAAACTGACATGTACCGTACCTGGTATATATCCAAATGAATCGATAGCAAATCGCATTGAATTGAGATCGGATATTTATCGAATCGCAAACTTGTAAATCAAATCGAAATTTGTGTCAATCAATACCCAGCTCTAGTCTTAATAGCTGTGAGTGAAGTGTTTCTCTCTCATTATGTCTGTGTAGGAGATTATGGACCGGATCTATAAGAATGTGATGACTAAAGTTGATGAGATGAGCAGTGTGCAGAAAACTCTCTTTGTTCTGGCGTACAACTACAAGATGGAGCAGATCTCTAAAGGATACAGCACGCCTCTCTGTGACAGGTATAATACAATAATATTAACGTGATGTCTTCCAAAACTCGCTGGGTTTGTTTAGATGCAGGAATGTTTTTTTCTTTATATATATATTTTTTAATGTCTAATGTCATCTTGTTTTTGTGTTCCGCAGGCTTGTGTTCAAGAAGGTTCGCTCGTTGCTGGGCGGTAACATGCGTGTGCTGTTGTCTGGCGGAGCTCCTTTATCCGCAGCTACTCAGCGTTTCATGAACATCTGTTTCTGCTGTCCTGTGGGACAAGGCTATGGCCTCACCGAGACCTGCGGAGCCGGGACCATCAGCGAGTGTAAGCATGGGATTCACTTAGAAGTGAAGCTAGGACTCCGGACAGGAGTGTTGGAACTAAACGCAGCTGTAGCAAAGTTCGCTGATAAGGGAAGGAAGGCAAATGTAGTATGAGCTCTAGAATTAAAAGGTATGTCAGTACTTCAAATCAAGGGTGTAGGTTCTAGTATTAAAATAATTATATAGAATTAAAAGCTTGGTCGGATTCACAAAAGATTCTTAAGAATTAAATGATTCTTAACTGATTTTTTCTTATTTTTGAACTTTAAGTCGGCATCAAACAGAAGTTGCGATAGTCTTTTCACCCTTATCGTGACGTATATCTGAGAGAAACGGCTTCTTGAACAAGAAATATGCGGGGCAGGACTTGATTTCGTTCTTTCGGGAATTATCGTTGGGGTTTGCTATTGGTGGATCTCATGTGAGTGACAGGTTGTCCAGTCCTCGTGCCGGTAAACAAGTCATCAGAGAAGAGATGATGTTGCAAGAGGAAAGAGAAGTTATTTTGATTAAAGATTACAAGGGCACATGAATTGCGTGGCACAAAACGATGTGCATGGATAAATCATTTAGAATAAATACTGCAATATTTCATAGCAAACAAGAATCGTCAATTTTGTTTTCATGGTGACTAAGAATATTTTGTATTCCTAAAAACATTTCTTAAGAATGTTCTTATTATTTGTCTTAAGATTGTTCCAAAGGCAAAACTTAAGAAGAATTCAAATTCCTGAAAAGAATGTTCTTAAATATCATTGTGAATAACCTCTTAAATGGTTAGTTCACCCAAAAATGAAAATTCTATCATCATGTACTCACAATCATGTCGTAAAATAACTACTTAAAATAAACTGTGCATTAAAAAAAAAGTGCTGAAGCCAGTTGCGACGAAAATGGCGTGCATGCTTATTATGATTATTACTGTATGCAGGCAGCACAAAAAAAAAATAGCTTCAAAAATTGCACTTAAAAAACATTTACCTAAAATGCATCTTTAAATGTAACTTCTTTACGAAGATATTGGTGAACCTGACCCCTAGTTTCAGGATTCCCAAGCTCATGGAAATATTGGGAGAAGTCATGATAAAGGCTTGGAAAATTATTTAGTCATTTATTCTTTTATTTTTCAGGGTTTCTGCAGGTCTTGAAAGGGTCTTAATTTGTGTTTGGGAGAATTAAGACTTTTTAAGTTCTAAAAAGGTCTTAAATCAGAGCAGAAAGTTATGGCATTAAATGTTGCATGCATTGCAACAAAAAAAAATCTTCTTCAGTATTTTTGTCCTGTTTTCCAATACAAATATATAAAAATCTTTGATACATTTACTTGAGATGCAAATGTAAAATTAAGTATTGAAAGTTTTTAACAAAATGAAGTGAGTTTATGCTTAAAACATTTACATTTAGGCCCCATTTACATGAGAACGCTCGCGGGTGAAAACGTAAAAATATTTTATCAGATGTGCCTTTTGTTTACACGGCGACGGCGTTTTTGGGGCTTAAAAACGCAAAAAAGTGAAACCACCCTCCAGAGTGGAAATCGCGGAGTTGGATCCAGATCTAAGGGGTGGAGATGGGTAGGATTAGGGGTAGGGTTAGGGATCAGGGGGTGGAGATGGGTAGGATTAGGGGTGATCACTGTCAAGCTGACTTTAATCACCCCTAATCCTACCCATCTCCACCCCCTGATCCCTAGCCGCCTGGAGTGCATACTACATAGAATTTCACACACTTTTGCGTCACCATATGCACGCAGATTTCCCACCCATAACGCTCGCCACTTTTGCGTTTTCTCTTCAGGTCGTTTCCGTGTAAACATAGCCTTAGAGAAATTATACTCTGGGTTGGGGCCGAACTCCGAGCTCGGAGCCCTCCCCCGGACAGCACGCCAAATACACATTAAACTTAACTCACTCTAATTGTATGTAAGTGTGAACTCTTGAACATATTGACTTATGTATTCCCTTCAATTTATTCCTTAATTTTCTTTAAGGAAAAAAACCCTGTTTTGTGTTATGTTCAGCTCTAAAATATTTAATTGGCTAGAAATAATTGCTCTTTGACTGCAGTCTCTATGGAATTAAAAACCATTATCCAGCAATCACAAACGACTAAGAAAAAGGTAATAGGAATTCATGGGTCAAAAAGTATGAGAACCTTGGGATTAATACGTTTAAATCAATGGCATGGGGTCTTGAACAACCCTAGGTTAATCCATTGGGTTAATGGAACTATTCATTAGATTACAGGAACCTTCAATGCCAGTATTAAGAGTAAAGAGAGGGGAAATTATAGCTCATGTAAAAGTGTGTTTATACTGTGTGTGTTTGTTTAGTTTCAGATTACAGCACTGGACGTGTTGGAGCTCCTCTGGTGTGCTCCGAGATCATGCTGAAGGACTGGGAGGAAGGCCAGTTCTGCTTTTTAAATATTAAGATACTGAGATTTGAAATCCTATTAAATGTTGCCCATTTTTATGTCTTTTTCTTTCTGTCCATAGGTGGTTATTTCAGCACCGATAAACCAAACCCACGAGGAGAGATTGTGATTGGCGGTCCCAACGTCACAATGGGTTACTATAAAAACGAGCAGAAGAACCGAGAGGACTTCTTTGTGGATGCGAACGGCCAGCGTTGGTTCTGCACCGGAGACATCGGAGAGTTTCACCCTGATGGCTGCCTCAAGATTATCGGTGTGGAGAGACACGCATACACACAAACCTTCTTTCAAGACATAGGCCCGGTTAGATTAAGCCAGGAGTAGGCCTTAGTTCAATTAGGACATTTAGTGCGTTTTCTCTCTTAGTTCGGTTCGTTTAGGCATATATGAACACTGCAATCACGCTCGGATCTGCACCAAAACAGTCGCTCCGAGATCGCCAGAACAAGGTGGTCTCAGCCCGATTGAAAACGAGCTCTGGGGTGCTTCGGTTAACGGAAGAAAGCAATCAGACTCAACGGACCGACGAACCAAGCAGTATCATAATAATTCATAACCGTAAAACTGTTCTATAAAAAGAAGCAGTGTCTGATTCTTTGAGTGAGCACATTAGTTATCACAGTTGAAAACCACAGAGCATCTCTTCATCTTAAAGTCTGCCTTCAGTCAATCATTTTATCCCTTAAAACTCATCTTTGATCACCAAAATGACATATTTAAGCATTTATTTCCTTAAAAAAAAAAAAACGTCATGCCTTAAAATAGCTTGAATGTAACTTAACACCATTGCCTCATTTAGTATACATTTAGTATACGCGGTTCTATTAATAGCCCGCCTCCACTTATAAATTTACAGATGGTTTGCTTTAAAACATATTAGAAGCACCACATAGACATATAAACAACATTTAAAAGCTGGCTCTTCACCACAGGGGGGCTTTAAAATCATGTGTTATATAGTTAAATATATATAATCAGTTAGAGGGAATGACGGCTACATTCGTAAGTGTTTGCGTGTATCAGGACAGCTACAGATAAAGCCACAATAAGCTCGCGGAGCGAACTTGTCAATCCATCTTGATGGATGACGCAGAGGAAACTCTGACAAATAAGAGGACAGCTTTACTCACATATGACTTGCATAAACACATTTGGTATGCTTTGAAATGTTGCCTTGTGAAAGCAAACCGAACCAAGAAGAAAATGCAACATTGTAACAAATTAATTCACTGTTTCGGAACAAAGCAAACGATCTACAGGTCTGAAAACGGCCTTAAGTAGCTTTTATAAACGTGCCTTAGAAAAAAACATTACTGGTGTGCATTTTGAGACAAAACAATGGCATATTTGATGATATCTCAGTGCAAGTTGCTTTGAGTTAAAACAGCTCAAACGTGCATTTTAGTCTGGGACTAGCTTAAGCCTTGCCTGTGAAACCGGGCAATAAAATCTCAGCACTATTTAAGTGTTTCATAGTAGTTTTTATGTATGTTTCTTTAAATGTTTTTGGCCTGTTTATGTAGATCGTAAGAAGGACCTGGTGAAGTTGCAAGCTGGTGAATACGTGTCTTTGGGCAAAGTGGAGGCTGTGCTCAAAAACTGCTCATTCATCGACAACATCTGTGCTTATGCCAACAGGTGAGTGCAAATGTGCCCATACATACTGTGACAATTCAGCACTCACACGTGCTTCAGAAATGAGATGTATACATATTTCCCTCTCTACACAGTGACGAGTCTTATGTGATTGGGTTTGTGGTGCCCAATCAGAAGCAGTTAACCACCCTTGCTGCGCAGAGGGGGATCAGAGGATCATGGGAAGAGATCTGCAACCACGCAGAGATGGAGAAAGAGGTTCTACGTATCATCACAGACGCGGCTATAACAGGTCTGTCCACAACAGGGCAAAATAACAATTGTGTAAATAGAATATATAGATTTTGTTTGAAAGAAATGAATACTTTTGTTCAGCAAGGATGCATTCAATTGATCTAAAGTGACAGTAAAGACATTTATACGCCACAAAACGTCTATTTCGAATAAATGCTGTTCATTTGAACTTTCTATTCATCAAAGAATCCTGAAAAAAACAGGATTCCAACATTGATATAATAAGAAATGTTTCTTGAGCAACAAATCAGCATATTAGAATGATTTCTGAAGGATCATGTGATTTCACTGGCCCAGTTCCAGTAAAAAACAATTCACTTAAAATGTTTCACATTTTTGTTTTAGTTGCTTGTCATAAGCTACGGTTCTCATCACCATAAGGCTGTAAATTTCAAATATAATCTCTTTGTTCTGATTCACAGGTAAGCTGGAGCGCTTTGAGATCCCAAAGAAAATCCGTCTGAGCCCCGAACCCTGGACGCCCGAGACGGGTCTGGTTACCGACGCCTTCAAACTCAAACGCAAGGAACTAAAAACGCACTATCAGGACGATATCGAGAGGATGTACGGCGGCAAGTGAATGAAACCAGGGGTCAGCCGGTGGTGTGATGTGGGGGGGAAGGGGTTTAGGACACACCATACCACAATGCCTATATACGACAAAAACCAACCCACAATCCTCTGCCTTCCTGCTTCCTGTGATGTTCTGCGATCAAAACAGTGACACTTGAATTTTGGTTATGGTTTGATGAGAGGGAACGGAGCGAAAGCAAACGTCACCTGCTGAAGCAGGTACTAAATAGCGTACTTTTCTCAGATGATTCACGAGAGTGACTCCTTGACACAATACAACCTACAGACTGTGAGACTTTGGACCCCACCCACTTCTCTCTTCCTTTTCCCTCATTGGCTGTCTTTGGTAGACACCCCGCCCTCACATTATTCTGTAGGATGCGCTTGATGATTCCACCCTACTGCAAAGCGGTCACACTGAATTGTCATCTCGAGTCTATGCAGGGAAGCGTTTTACAATTTTTGTTGCTTATTTCTTTGTTAGCTTAGATTCTTTTTTTCAAGGACTGATGTTTTGGTCTGAAACGGCTTTGTGAGCCGTGCAAGATTTGGATGTGTATGGAATGTTTCTCTAAATGTATCTGTTACAATGTTACTCTTTTTTTTTTCTCAAAATGGAATTTTGGAGCGTGTACTTGACATTTTGTTACTTTGAACCTCGGCTTCTGTTGTTTACCTGTATCCAAAGGCTGTTACGTTTGCCCTGTGTGAAATTATTAATGTAGTTCAAGTGCTAGCGCACATTGAGGACTGTGTACCTAGAAAGAGCTGCAGAAACTCCTTACAATCTTGACCAGGAGAGACCAGTATTAAACCGGATAGCTGTTCTAATGCGAGAAACAAAGCTCTAATTCAACACCAAAGCAGTTTAAGTGCTGCAAAGAGCTGTTATGGAGAGCAGTCTTAAGCCAGAGATGTGCTCTAATACAGAAAGCTATACTAAGGTTTTGTTTTTTTGTCAGGGAAACATGAACATTAATTCAATTTCACTCCCATACATCCCAAATTTCATGTGTATGCTTTGCATTTACTATCTGCTCTTCATCTGAAAAATTCACTCCTTGTTACCGCTCTCCTCTCCCATGTTCCTTTTAGTCATGTCTACAGGGTTCGCTTAAGGATCACACAAAATGTATGACTCCATACTCACAGCGTATATTACTTTGAACTCATTGGTTTTTTTTTTTTGTCTGAATTTATAAAGCCTTTATTCCTTTTTAAAATGTCATGTACAGTATGATGTCAGCCATTGTGTCGCATGGATGTTTTGCAAGGGAGTCAACTGTTAAAGTGGAGTAGTGTGGGTACCCTTTTTGTTTTCTTAAATGGCCATTTTTTATTATATTGTGATATTGTCATTGTATGAAATGATTAGTGACTTCAACAAAGAGATGTGTGAATTTGAATGTGCAATAGAGTTATGTATTCGGAGATGCATCAAATGATACGCACAGTCCGCCCCCAAGAGCATGAATGTCTCCAGCCTCTTTGATGTAACGGAAGAGACGCATTTATTCTGATTCGGGCTGTGCAGATCTCTAACATGAATTGACAACTGATGCATTATGATTCGCATTTGACTTTGCATGATTCAGGAGATGTAAACCAAACAAGCTTTGAATATCTCGGACACTGACAAATGTGGCATTTGCAAATATAGGTCAAATGTTTCTAAATCTGTACATTTAATCATTATTTATGTGGAAAATGTACTATATTTGTTGATTTTTTTTTTTTAGCACATAACATTTTCAAGACAAATAGTTTAACCTTTTGTTTTTTTTATATTTCTGGATTCCTTTAGGCACAGCTTTGGTTAATCTTTTGTTGTAGAAACACTCCAGCTTTACCGTCACAACATGATGCTCTTTACTGAAAGTACTTTATTATTGTTATTATTTTTGTTTGTCCTAAAAGGAACTGAAAGCAAATGGTGTTCCTAAGCTAGACAAGTCTGCCTTTCCTGAGCTCGATGGAGGATGTTGATTGCCTTTTTTTACACAGTGGAAATTAAAAGTGGTTTATAGGAATTTATACTTTTGATTAATTTATTTTTCTCTTCGAATTCAGGGAGTGACTCGTCCCCTCTTAGAACTGCTTTTCTGCTCACCTTGATTGTGCTTCATTTACAACCTGCAATATCATTGGTTCCAGCCACAAGCAGCTGGCCAATCAGCTGTTAGTCCAGAGAGAGATCCTCCTTATTTCTGATTTTATGAGGGGAACCGTAATCGGATTGGTGCATTCACCTGTCAGTCATGTCTTTGGCAAAAACTAACCCAAATGAATCACAGAGTTCAGCCTGCTAGACTCTGATGGCATCAACGTGTCTCTTTAACCGCATTCTAGTTTACATTCTTGAATTCCTTGATTCAGAATGACGTTTAATGTCTGCACACAGATCTATTGAGCATTTCAGACACACAAAGAGGATGTTTGGTGGGTTCATTTCTCTCTCCTTCTGTTGCCCGCTCCCTAAATATAACTTTTAGGTCAATTGCATTTAGCAGATGTAATAACTCCTTTAAATATGTTTAGTCTTTGTTACTGACCGGGTTTGGGGTCTTTTCTCCTCTGTGTGGGTGGTTAGTGTCTTACGACAAGCAGGTCATAGCAAACAACTCCATTATTTATTTGTGATTTGGCCTTGAAACTATGTTATACGGAATAAAGTTTTGTGAATTATGAGGGGATCTTTTGAGTATTATTCATGTGCTATTATTTTCTGAAAATGTTTTTACTTTTAAGAAATGATCATCAAAATGGTTCATATTCATGATTTAGAATGATTTTAAATAGATTTGTCTATACATTTATGTATATATATAAATTATAAGAGAACGTGTAATTTAATTTTAATTTAATTTAATAGTACATTTGGGTGGATCTCTTGTGATTCACCAGTAGATGTCAGCATCAGATAATTTACCCTAGAGAGAATCACTCTGAAATCCATATCTACTGTACCGTTTGCCTTGTAATGTAAAAAGTAATGATAATAATATGCTTGAATGTTCCTTATTATAGCTCAGAATAGACTAGTCCTTGGTGACTTGTTTTTTTAAGCAAAAATCTTGTTCATGTAAACATTTTAGGAAAAAAATGCAGTATTTTGCCATATTCCAAAGCAAGTCAACATGAAATAAAAATTCACTCTATTTACTCTATTGACACACATTCCAAGATCCAGATTCCCAGAAGCACAATACAAAATTCTGTTCCATTACAGCAGGAAAATGGTTTCCAAAAGGCAATTTAGATTTACTGATGCATGTCCAAATTCTAAAGAATGTAAAAAATACATTTCCCGATACAACTAAAAGTAAAGTTCCTTTTTTAAAAACAAATCTCAATGGTCTATCAGAATTGTGCAAACTCAAGAGTGGGACAAGATATTTTGAATAAGTACGCATAATTAAAGCAGGTATCAACCAATTACAGTTGAAGAACTCTTCAAAGCGCTTCAAAGTATGCCAAATAACAAATCACCTGGATTCGATGGATTACCGGCAGAATTTTATAAGCATTTTTGGGATATTTTATCACCACTATTCATCCGATTAACTGCTGATATCAAAAACACTTCATCCATACCAACACATATGAACACAGCTATTATTAGCCTTTTATTAAAACCCAATAAAGATCCAACCTATCCTTCTAGTTACCGCCCTTTATCTTTGATTAACACAGATCTCAAAATTATTACCAAAACTTTAGCCACAAGAATAGAAACAGTTATATCCACTATAATTCACGCGGACCAGGCAGGATTCATAAAGAACAGGCATGCCTCTGATAACATTCGTAGACTCTTCAATCTAATCGATATATCACAAAAACAGCAGAATAACACCATCATCGTGTCGCTGGATGCAGAAAAAGGATTTGACAAAGTTAACTGGACCTTCCTTCTCACCACCCTCCACAGATTTGGCTTTGGAGAGTCGTTCATCCATTGGATAAGAACATTATACACCTCACCTAGAGCCTCTGTTGTCACCAATGGGATCACTTCACAAAGCTTCACATTGCAACAAGGAACCAGGCACGGATGCCCACTCTCTCCTTCCCTATTCGCCATATTTATTGAACCACTAGCAGCAGCGATACGACAGAACAGCAAAATTCAAGGTATTCCAAAATTCCAACACAGAACACAAAGTTAGTCTTTATGCCGATGATCTGTTATTATATCAACAATCTCCCTGTGCTTCACTTAAAGAATCCTTGGTAACACTTTATTTTACAGTGTCTTTGTTACATATGTTACATAGTAGTAACAGTAAATTATGCATAATTACATGCAACTAACCCTCAACCAAATCCTAATCCTACCCTAACCCTATAGTAAGTACATGTAGTTACTTATTGTTACTAAGTACTTAAATATATAATTACACTGTAACAATGACACCTTAAAATAAAGTGTAACTGAATCCTTCAATGTTATTAATAATTTTCTAAAGTCTCCAATTACACAGTTAACTGGAAAAAAATCAACTATATTAACCTTATCCGAAAACAGTTGGGATTCTACAGTCCAAGATCCCACCTTTCCTCTTAACACTGGCAAAATCAAATATCTAGGTATTGTGATTTCCGCCAGGCTGTCAGAGCTTTTTAACCTTAACCACACTCCGTTATTACGAAAGATTGAAGATGACTATAAACGCTGGAACAAACTCCCACTCACTCTAATTGGTACAATAGCAGCAGTCAAAATGAAAACTCTCCCTCAAATCAATTACCTCTTTTCAATGATCCCAACCACCCCTACTGACCATTGGTTCAAAACTCTAGACTCACTTTTATTGGAGAAATAAACCTTCAAGAATCGCACTTGCCACTCAACAGAATTCCAAACAGCAAGGTGGTTTAGATGCTCCAAACTTCCACCATTACTTTCTTGCAAATCAGCTACAATATCTCCTTAAATGGACACAGAAGCAAAATTCCCATCCGTGGTTAGCATTAGAACAAAATCTAATATTTCCCATTTCAATTGCAGATTTACCATTTCTAACACAAAGAGTCAAAAAAATGGATTTTTTCAAATACATCACTATTTGCACCACTCTGACAAATTGACCTTAACACCTTGTAGATTCACCCCCATATATGGCACAATCCTGACTTTCTATTATGCAAGACACCAATTTACTTCCCCAAATGGGAATCTAAAGGTATCACCCACCTCCATCATTTGTTTGATGATAACCCAATCTTATCTTTTCACACAATTGTCCAGAAATATGGGGTTGGAAAGGATCAGTTCCTTCATTATCAACAATTGAAAGCAATAATTAAAACTAATAAAATACCTATAAACACCATTGAACAGCTATTACGAATTGCAGACCATTCACAAAAAATCATTTCTAAACTCTACGAAGTGATTACCTCTACAAACTCCTCCATAACA